GCAGGCGGAGGCGCACCGATGGTAGTCCCTCGGTGTAGTCGGGGAATGTCGCGACGAGTGGACGATGGAAATGGAAACGACGACGGAGCGAAGGAACGACGAGCAACGACAACAACGAGCAACGACGATACAACCATTATCGATAAAATTTAACGATAAAATTAACGCGCTTTTACTTTGGAACGTACGACGCCACGTTCGACGTTGCGTCCGTTCTCTTCTCACGTTCTTACGTTCTTACGTTCTTTCACCGTTGTTATCCACCCTGCGCGACTCTTGTTTACGCGCTCGCGGCAGACTCGTCGAATCTCCGTCCGAGCGACCACCTGCGAGCTACGTCTGTCTCCGTGGCGACGCCGATCTTCGTTTGTCTTCCCGCTTTAGAGCCCAGCGGCGGCAAAACCGGCGCCGAAACTTTCGTCCAAAATTCGGACTCTTCGATGTGTTGCCGAGAGGCAGACGTCGCTGGCGTAGCTCTCGCTACGATCGCTGGTTCTCAGCGCGCTCTACGTTTAAACAACGGCGAGTTGGGCAACTAGCGAATGCGCCGGCGATGATTCTTGATACCCGTTGCTACGGCGTTGTCGACTTTCGATACCGAGATACAAAGATCGTCTGTAACTATACCGGCGAAACGATACAAGCAAAATGTTTAATCGCATCTCTAGATTCCAAAACGCGAGATGATTGGTATCCAAAATTATTCCATCGCGTATTTACGCGTTTGTCGGAAAAAGCCCTGTTCGTGTTTCGCGAGTGTTACTCGTAACGGGATGTTTCGTTCATCGAGATACACTTGGGGAGATACATTTAGAACGAACCGCGCGTGTGATCGAACGGAAGACGCAGAGAACATTCATCGTTTCGTCGAATCGTACGTTTTGAAATATCCGTCTAAAATTTACGGTCTCGGACGATGTCTGTGAATGCGCTGTACGTTGTCGCAAGGAAATTCAATCTGTAATTTTAAAAATCGACCGTCTGCCTAAAGGAATCCTTTAATTGCGCGAAAACTGACTCGCAGCCGATCAGATCGTATTGTTTGTTTGTCGTAGTATTCGCAATTGTATTCGATCGTTGGCGTCGTATAATAATATTTTCTAATTGTATATTTTCTTGGCAGTGAGTGACGTTGCGCCCTTGCGATTTTTCACGCGTAAATATATCGACTTTAACGGGTTTAGTCGTGTAAATGTGGTTCGACGTTTAGTGTGTCGGTTTAGTCGTGCGAATGTAGTTTGCTCGTTCGTTTTGGCAAGAACGC